CCCCCTCCCGAGGAAGCCTGTTCCACTGAGGAACCGCTCCAACTGTCAGGACGTTCTTCCTAATGTTTAGCTGAAAACTCTTCTGATTTAATTTCAACCCGTTGGTTCTGGTCCAGTCTTCTGTGGCAACAAAAGACAACTCCACACCATCCTCTGTATGAGAGCCTTTCAAGTACTTGAAGATAGTTATCATATCACCTCTTTTTGTGCTAAGGGCGGGTCACAACGCACAAAATCACTAACATAGGTCAATCACTTTAAACACTTTAAGAGAATCATCCCAAATCCCCCAATAAACAAAATGGTTTTTGAAAAACTTGGGGTGTCCTGGGCCTGTTTCCACCAGGGAGGATATGGCACATGATTTGGTATGGGTTCTCAGAAGGATAAATTCGCTGCTATCAAGATTAAGGGCAATTCGAGCAGGAAGGGCCAGATTTGGTTGGAAGAAGGTCATAAAATAGGGTTGGAAGAAAGCCATAAAATAGGGTTTCCAATTCCCACTTGGGAAATACCTGGATATATGGGGGTGGAGCCCAGCCCCGTAGCTAAGGAGTTTTGGGAGAGGGGGCTTGGGGGGGCCACCAGCCAAATAAATCAACGTTAATTAAATTAACTTTGATTTAATTGGAGGAACTCCTAAGGCAGCCCTGCACACACACCCAGGCTCCAGGGTAATGCCCAGTGGCCGCAGCTTCCCTCCCCACCCCCTTGCAAGGGCAGATCAGTCCCCTGTGTAACTCATAGCCCTACTAACAAGAGAACCGGTGCTGAAATGGGTGATCGCGGTGCATGCTTCAGAGAAATCCAAGGGGTGAGGATTCCACACCCTCAGCTCCCCGCTTGGCTCACCGGCACCAGCCGTCAACCTCGTCCTCTCGCAGTTCCTCCCAGAGCCTTCCCAACAGCCACACCCGCTTCTAGGCGCTCTTCCCCCGTGTCGGGCAGTCTCATGGGCTGGCGGGCTGGCTGGCTGGCTGGCTCTCCGTCCTTCCCTCCCTCGCTCGGTGGATCATCACTCCTCAGACCAGCTGCAGGGCTCTCCAGGGCATGGGTGGGCTGGCAAGCAGCAGAGACCCCTTAAGCTGAGGAGCCGCTATAGGGAGCTGCAGGACAAGCCCCGCTCTGCGGAGCGGCGAAGACGCGCCGGGGAAAGTGGACGTCGGCACCAGGAATGAGGGAGGCAGGCACCCAGGAGCAGCAGCAGGCGGCGTGGAGTCACCAGCTACCGGGCCGAGGGCAGAAACAGGGGAGAGCCAAGGATTGGGGAGGGGGCCGTAAAAACCGTGGGCCCCGTGGTAGCTACGGGCCTGGGGGAGGTGGGGTTTGGAGAGGGGGAGGACCTCAGCAGGGTCTAATGCCATAGAGTTCACCCTCCGGAGCAGCCTTTTCCCCCCAGAGGAACAGATCTCTGTCATCCGGAGATCAGTTGTAGCCAGGGCTATTTTGGGGCAGGAACGCACAGGAACGGAGTTCTGGCTGGCTCCCAAGTTGGCCACGCCCAGCAGGAACTCATTAGCATAATAGGCCACACCCAACAGCAGAAACTCATTAGGATTGGCTACATTAGGGGTGTGTGGCCTAACATGCAAAGGAGTTCCTGCTACAAAAAAAGGCCCTGGGTTTTGACAACAAACAAGGTAAACAGAATAACAAGCAAAAGGTGGGTGTGGCTGGACGAGCACACTTCTGGTAACATGGGGGTGCGGCCTAATGTGCTAATGAGCTGTGCTGTCAGGGGTGTGGCCTAATATGCTAATGAGTTCCTGCTGTTGGGTGTGGCCTATTATGCTAATGAGTTCCTGCTGGGCTTTTTCTACAAAAAGAGCCCTGGTGTAGCCCTGGGAGGTCTCCAGTCCCTACCTGGAAGATGGTCACCACCCTAATCATAAAGCAGCATGCAGTAATAAAGAAAGGACTGACACCTAAATACTCCCCCAAAAGGTCAAAGTCAGATGAGCAGTGTGCTGCAGGGGAAAGCCTCTAAGAGCAGAGAAGTTGTTTTCCAGCTGCCATAACAAAGAGAGCGCCCATTGTGCAATTGCTGCAGATGTCCTCATCCACACAACGCATTGCGTATAGAGTAGACCCACTCATGGCCAGTCTAAGGGAGCTTAACAGAAGCAGGCACCCTGACCCAGATGGTCTAGGGGCTATCCCAGGGGTGGCCAAAGTTGCTCAACGTCACAGCCACATAGAATAAACGTCAGATGTTTGAGAGCCGCAAGACATGAACAAATATGACACACGTTTTAATTGGAAAATATGCAAATTTGCTTTTTATTAACACTAAATGAGACTGTGTGAAAGAGCGACATGTGGCTCCCGAGCTGCCATTTGGCCACCCCTGGTCCTAATTGCATAATCTAAGCAGGGTCCATCCTGGCCAGTACGGCGATGGGAGACCACCAAGGAAGTCTAGGCAGAGGCAGGAAATGGAAACCTACTCTGTGTGTCTTGCTTTTCAAACCCCATGAGGGGTGGCCATGAGTCAGCTGCAACTCGATGGCACTTAACAGACACCCGCACTCAAAACAGGAACAGGCATTCCTAAGGGTTTTGCTTCATACTGGGTTCCCCCAAATCTGCCATCACAACCTCAAGCAAAATATATTCAGATGAGTAGCCATTTTGGTCTAAAGCAGGGGTGGCCAAACTTGCTTAATGTGAGAGCCGCATAGAATAAATGTCAGATGTTTGAGAGCCTCAAGATACACACGTTTTTTTAAGAAAAATATGCAATTTTTCTTTTTATTAGCATTAAATGAGACTGCCAAAAATAAAAACAAAAGGGGTAAAAACAGATATTGATAATGATATTTGTCCAATGATATTTATTTGTTTGCTAATGATATTTATTCATCTAAGAGACAGAGAAATGGAGGTGGAACGAGAGAATGAAAGAGAGAGAGAAACAAAGAAAGCAAACAGATGGGAGAGGAAGGGAGGGGAAGGAAGGAAGGAAGGAAGGAAGGAAGGAAGGAAGGAGGGAGGGAGGGAGGGAGGGAGGGAGGGAAGGAAGGAAGGGAGAGCAAAACAAAGAAAGCAAATACATGAGGGAGGAGGAGGAAGGAAGGAAGAGAGAGAGAGAGAGAAAAGAAGGAAGGGAGAAAGATAAAGAAAGGTGAAAAGAAAGAAAGAGGTGGAAAGAGAGCAAATAGATGATGGCAGGGGGGAGAGAAGGGGAAAAGAGAGAGGGAAATAGGGAGGGAGAGGTGGAAAGAAAGCAACTTTAACTTTAAATGTGTTCTCCAACACACACACTCCATGCCCCCACATCAGTCAGCTTGGCTTGGAGAAGGGATTTAAAGAGACAAATACCTTCTCCAAACCAAGCCAGCCAGCTGGTGTGGCGGGGCATGGAGAACACGTTTAACCTTAGATAGGGAGGAAGGGGAGAGAGAGAGTAATTTTAACTTTAAATTCATCCTCCAACCCCCCCCCTTGGCTTGGAGAAGGGATTTAAAGAGACAAATGCCTTCTCCAAGCCGGTTGGCGGGGAGGGGCTTTGAGAACACATTTAAAGTTTCTTTCTTTCCCTCCCCCCCCCCCAAGCCTACCCAGGGAGGGGAACACTGGCCTGAGAAGGGAAGACCAATCGGGGAAGCATGCCTCCCCTTTGCTTCCCCAGCCACTCTGTCGGGAGCCACATAATATGCGTGAAAGAGCCGCATGTGACTCCTGAGCCACAGTTTGGCCCCCCCTAGTCTAAAGTGAGAGAACAAAGTTTGAGTCCAGTTATGTCTTTAAACAACGTTTAATTCGGGGGATAAGGAAGAACTGGGTGACTTAGCATGTGTAGTGAGATAAGAAGCCAATATCTCTGTTAAGCCCTGGGGGTTCCATTGTCCTCAGTGCTGTAATACCTTGTAATTCAGCAGTCTCCCATTCCAATCTGTTTCTGAAATTCCTTAGCAATAAAACAGTTACTTGAGGTCCCCCACTGAGTGCCCTGGTAGGTTGAAATGTTCTCCTACAGGGTCTCAGTTTTGTGATTCTTGATGTCAGATTTGTGTCCACTTATCCTTTGTCGTAGGGTTTGACCTGTTTGCCCTATGTAGAGAACTGAAGGGCATTGTTGGCATTTAATGGCATATACAATGTTAGAGAAGATGAGCAGGTGAATAAACCTGAGATGGTGTAGTTGATGTTGTTAGGTCCAGTGCTTGTGTTGTCTGTATGTATGAGGCATCAAAGTTGGCATCTGGGTTTATTACAAGCTCTGGTCCCAGTGTCCATGTTCAAATTAGATGTTGTATTACTGCGGGTGAGGAGTTGTTTGAGGCTGGGGGGCTGTTTGTACACAAGAAAAGTTCTGCCCCCCAGTACTTGTGAAAGAGAACTGTCATTATCCAGTAGAGATTGTAAGTTGCTGATGATGCGTTGAACTGTTTTGAGTTGAGAACTGTATGTGACCACGAGTGGTGTTCTGTTATTGTCTCTTCGGGGCCTATTTTGCAACAGGTTTTCTCTGGGTATCATTCTGGCTTTGTAGATCAAACAGATTTGAAAGCTATCTACCTATATGTAATGGTTGGCGAAGTCTGTTTAATGGTTAGCAAAGTCTGTTTAATGGTTGGCAAAGTCTGTTTCAATGTATCTAAAGAAGTGTGCATGCACATGAAAGCTTATACCCAGAACTAAAATTTTTGGGTCTTAAAGGTGCCACTGGACTCAAATTTTGTTCTCAAGCAAAATATACTAGTTAACTGTAAACAGGCAGTCTTTGAATAACAGAAAAGACAAGTACCGCTTAACTTTCGTGATGGCCCTCTTAGCTATAGATGGGAGGGTTGATCTGGCCAGGATTCATTATATTTAGTCTATAATCTGTGCTTTAAAGAAAACCTTGATGTGTTTTTAATCTGTGCATCTAAAACTAGTCATGTTAACTGGGCTATCATGCATTGTGTCTTTGCAACCAGGGTGGCAGCAGTTCTTGCTTGGAGCACAAAAACTAAATCCAGCACTCAATATTCTTTTTCTCTCCCCTTTTGTAGGACTTGCCCAGGTCCAAGGAGGTAAGAACCCTTAACCCTACCCCGATATTATTTCATGTTACTAACTTTGCAGATAATGCTAACAGATTTCACTTCAGGCCATTTTTATAGTGATACCTAAACATCGCAGGTGGTGCTTTGGGTTTTGATTCCTTTCCCAGAACTCTGTCCTGACCAATAACCACTCAAAATGCATTGGTTTCTACTTTCAGCTAGCATCACGACATCCTACTTTAGTTATTCAAGGGCTCAGAGCCTTTATCCCAAATGAGGGGGCGTGGCCCCCTGCTCCTGGCCTGTCCCCCCCCAGTGAAGGCTGTTGCCCCCCTAACACCATAAAGAACAGAAATAAAGTCTGTACAAAGATGTAGCCACGTTCATCTGCTGCAGCAAAAATAATCAGGAGTCTTGTGGTGCTTTAACATTTTACTCCAACATAAGCTGTCATGCCTTTATTTATACCAGCACAAATAATAAAGAACTGTGTAAAGTACAAAAGAATACATATGAAAGAATTCTATTGAAACAAAGTTATCAAAAGGATACCCTCATAAGAGGAAAAAACAAGGTTTCATAGGAAACAATTCTTAACAAGCAGTCTCTACATGCAGATAATTCTCAGAAGGTAGTTAGTATGTAGAAATCAATGTTTACGTCCACAGTTTCCAAAGAATGAAGTCTCTAACGAGTGTGCCGGCTGTTGTTGGCCTCGTTTCGCTGGAAGGCTTTTCAAAGAAGAACCGATACTCCAATTTGCACTTTAAACATGGTCAGGAATAATGTATTACAAAAAGTCTCAGCTAACTTTTAAGGCTTCAGCATTTCCATAGTTATATCAGGGCCGGCATCAGAATACCCTGAGGCAGGGCAGCTGCCAAAGCCCAGGTCTTCTGGTGGGGCCCACTGCCGCTCACCACCACACACCACCACCTTCCAAAGGAATGTATTCCACTCTCGCACAGCTCATAACGTCAGGAAATTCTCCCTAATATCCAAAGAAAGTCTGCTATCCAGTAATTTAAATCCATTATGCCTAGTTTATCCTCAAGAACAGATCATAGGGCTCTTTTTGTAGCAGGTACTCATTTGCATATTAAGCGACACACCCCTGATGTAGCCAATCCTCCAAGAGCTTACAGTAGCTCCTGTAAGAAGAGCTCTGTAAGTTCTTGGAGGATTGGCTACAGTAGGGATGTGTGGCCTAATATGCAAAGGAGTTCCTGCTACAAAAAGAGCCCTCACTCTCATATCTCCTCTTTATTTCTTATTTAAATGAACTATCCAACTGTGTGCTTAGATCTGGATTTCTGGGCCCCTAACTAATGTGGTGCAAGCAACCAATATGGCAGCTGCTGAGTTCTTCTCCAAAGCAAAGAGGCTGTCCTTACTGTCTCCCACCTTATTGGAGTAGGAGGTGCTTCAGAAGACCACCAAAGACATCACTTTTGGGTTCGCCATCATATGAAGATGTTTGGCTAGGAATAGGGTTGCCAAGTACTCACCTCTCCTGGAGCGGGGGAGTCCCGGCTTGCTCCGGGAGTCTTCGCGCGCGCATGCCGCAAGCACATCACACGGAAGTGACGTAAGCACGTCCGGGACGTTGGGGGCGTAGCCAAATCATCCGAGGGAAAACCATAGAGTTTTCCCCCGGATGATTGTGGCCCCGCCCCCAACGTCCCGGACGTGCTTACGTCACTTCCATGTGACGTGCTTTGGGGGTGGGGTTCCCACGGGGCCCAATCCGGCAGCGCCGGGGAATGGGTCTCCCAGGCGGGGGTTTCCCCGCCCTCCGGGGGGACTTGGCAGCCCTAGCTAGGAACCTCCCAAAATTTTCTAGCTGCCCCGTTGTGGCAGCCATTTTGTTGCCAATCCCACCTCCCATGGCAGCCATTTTGTGGTGGCTTCCACTACCCTTTCTCCAAATTCCAACGGTGCCCCCAGGTTGAATGAGGCGAAGGAGCACTGCCCTCATCAGCCTCGTTGCTCTCCCCGGATCTCTGTGCCTCACATGATTCTCTTCCTCTCTCTTCCTAGACTGTGGCAACTGCTACCATCTAAGTCCGGTTGCCATCGCAGGTGTGGTGCTGGGGGACCTGCTGCTGACTTTGCTCATTGCCGTGGCTGTTTACTACGTGGCTACCTGCCTCTACCAACGCCAGCTGGCCAGCAGTGGTGAGGAGGGTTTGGGGCTACTGTGACTGTCTCCCCTGTTGTGTTTTGGGCCGTTCCCCGCTGAGAAACATTAATAGCTTATAGCAGGTGTGTAAGAGAGGGAGAGAAAATGAGAAAGGGGGGGAGGTCAAGAATATGAGCCCTGATTGCGATCTCTGAGAAGGACAGTGCATTCTTAACTTATACCAAGGGTAACCAACATGGCGCCTGCCAACACCTTTCCTGGTGCCCACCAAGTGGGCAGGGCTAGGCGGAGTTTTGCACAGCAGGCTTCTGATTGGCTGTGCAAATTAAAAGGCATCTTGTTAAACAGAGCTTCTGCCAGAAATGCTGGAGAGGTACTATTAGTTATATCTAACCTCAGCCTTCGCCTCCTGCAGCAGCCATTTTATGATTTGTTCCACCTCCCGCAGCTGCCATTTTGTGGTCGTGCCCGCCACCCTGTGTCAGAATTCCAAAGATGCCCACAGGGTCAAAAAAGTTGACATAATATATGAGGGATAGACAGTCCCAGGCCCACAAGCCAAAACAGGGCATCAAGGACATCTTGCTGGACACACAGGACCAATTCCCCAGTCAAAAACCAAGGCAAATCCCTGAGGAAATGTTAATGCTGCTGGAGGATTGGGAGAAACTGATGGTTATGACTTATGTTTGTAGTTACCGCCTAGATCCTTGGAGCTTCAGTAGCGCTGCCAGGCCTGCACTTGGCCCTCCTGGGATCATTTGGGGGCATGTCACGGACAGAGGGGAGTGCCATGCAAGGGGGTGACATCTTATTCCAGGTGAGGACCCGGAAGTGATGTCAGCATTATGAGAATGCTCTAGGAATTCCCCCAATGGTAAAGAACTCAGAGATTGGGGACATTCCTAGAGTGGCACAGATGCAGTGTTTGGAAGTGACATTTGTCATGAGTGTAACTTCACCCTCCCCCTACCTCTGTTTTCTCCCATAGCGATAGCAGGAAGAGCAGGGGAGATCCAGTGGGGGCGGGATCTGAAGCACAGTCTGAAGGACAGGTAGTGCAGCTATGATTTGGCACGCTCCTGGCGTGTCCAGCCAAGTACAAATCGCATGTTGCACCCCTCTTTTTTGTTTTGTTTTCTTTTTTGTTAGATTACCAACATCTTCACAGGTAGACACTGCAGGGGGTATTTTTTTTCAGCAGTTGGAATCATGTTACCTACCTCCTCCATAGAACAACCCCTGGGAGAACGGCAGGCTCTCCAGTGTCACAGAACCAGACAGATTGGATTTCCTGTGCTTCTGCCGCCTGTTTAATCTCCCATCTGTCTAGGAGCCGGAGAGAGGCAAAATTATCCTGCCGAATTCTACAGGCTGATCTGCAACCTGACCTCTCTCTCCTCCAGGAATTTGAGAATGGGGTTTCTGTAGATCGGGGCTACAATCCCCAGTGTGGTGCCCCCAGGAACCATGACACTCAGCAACATCTTTTATGGTGCCCATCTAGTGTTTTTTAAAAGTGGGCATGGCCAGGTGCTGAGCCACTGGTAGGGCTGCCATGTGCCTGGTGGGGACGGGGGATTCCCCGATTTTGCAGGCTCCAGCCTGCTGCTGGCCAGTGGGAGAGAACCCCCCTCCCCAAACAGCGACATCACACGCAATGTGCCTACATCACCCGGAAGTGACTTCAGCATGTTGGTGGGTGACGCCCTGGCTTTTGGGCAAGACTGTATGGCTTGATGCCAATTTTACCATAGAGTTTTGCCCAAAATTCAGAGCATCACCCCCACCATCACCAACGTGCCAATGTCACTTCTGGGTGACGCAGGCACATCGTGTGCGCCATCACTGTTTCAGGGGGAATGGGGTGTGATGTCACTTCCCACTCCCAGAACGTCCCCCCCATTCCCCCCCCCAGCAGGCGAAAGGGACCTGGCTTTCCTAGCCACTGGACTTCCAGAGATGCCTGTTGGCCACTGAAGAGCTGACTGGCTGTGCAGATTAAAACATTGTTTCAGCCCAAGCTTCTACATTGTGTTTGCTTTATTCTCTCTCTGTCCTCTTTCTCAGTGGACTTTTAAAAAATTACTCTTCTTATCCCCTGCATTAGGTGTAGTGGTTATGTTCCACCAATTGTGGCTCGCGTGTCGGTTTTGTTCCACAAACACGAAACAGTTAGGAGTGTGGACTCTAATCTGGGAGACCTGGGTTTGATTCCTCACAACTCCACCTGCAGCTGCTGGCGTGTCCTTGGGTCAGTCACGTTCTCTCAGAGCTGTTCTCTCACAAGCAGTTCTCGGGAGAGCTCTCTCAGCCCCACCTACCTCACAGGGTGTCTGTTGTGGGGAGGAGAAGGGAAAGGATATTGTAAGCTGCCCTGAGACTCTGAGTGAAGGGTGGGGTATAAATTCAATCTCTTCCTCCTCCTCCTCCTCCTCCTCCTCTTCTTCTTCTTCTGGGCTTCCTGTGAGGGTGTGTGGCCCTGCCTCCTGCAGGCCACTTTTTGGTTGCCCACACCACCCTGAGTCAGAATTCCTAAGGTGGCCTCAGGCTGAAAAAAAGTTTGGGGACCACTGCTGTAGACATTTCGGGGGGGGGGGTTGAAATCAGATTATTGTTCCTTTTATAGAGCCCACAACCTTCAACAGGCACAGAGATCTCTGCAAAGGCACTACCAGATCAGTATGGAATGCCATTCATCTCCTGAGTCTGACCTATACAGCAGCAATTCTAATTCTAGCACGGCTAATATCTCTCTTTCGAATTAGGCTGATGGGAGAAACAGGCAGATGGAGTGGGGAGGAGGAGGCCAGGCTCTGCCCCTTTCTGCTTGTTTCTTGGATGCAGATGGGAAAGTGAGACGAGCAGCCTTGTGGTTCTTAACATGAGTTTGTACCAAGGGGTAGAAAGGGGGAAAATTGTATTATTCAGATTTTGGGAATGGGTTCCATATTGGTATTCCAGAGTATCCAGGTCCCCCCCCCCCATACCATTTTGGTGTTTGGATTCAGGGTTTGGGGTGTGGGGAAATCTCAATTTTTGGGCTCCATTGTTCTTTAGGGGGGATTCTTTCCAGGGAGCTAGGGTGGCTGTTTTTTGTCCAAATGGCACTAAAACCACAGGGATCCTAGTTGTACCTGTCCACTAAAAAGTGCCCTCCCCAAGCTCCAAGTGAATTGGATCAAAGAAACCAATTTTATGAACCCCTGAACAAGGTGCTGCCAGCCATCCTACTTGTACCCATTGCCTCCTGTGGAGGAAAAAAATGAATGCTTTCTCCAGGGCAAAGCCAGTGGCCAAAAGAGCAACCAAAAGCTTCTGGATGCAAGCAGAACCAACAAGCCCAACAGAACCAGTGTAAAACCAGAGAATCCAAGCCAATCCAATTGACGCAAGGGACAGTGTTGCAAGCCCAACCCAACCAGTGTCAAACCATGGAAGCCAAGCAGAATCCAGGGCCAGTGTGGCAAACCCAACAGAACCAATGTCAAACCAGAGAATCCAATTGTCATGACTGGGCAGACAACTCTAGTGCTCTCCCTGAGGTCTGATCTCATTGTCTGAAAGAGCTGCCACCAATGCTCCCTCTAAGCTCTGGAGTCCTGTGAGCTCACACTAACTCAGCTTAGAGGGAACACTGGCTTCCATCCTCTCCCCTCAACTCCTGTTGCCTGGGAAACCTATTAAATGGGGAGGCAGGCTTGGGATCATTAAAATGCCAGCTCTAGGTATTTCCAAACATTTCTGGAAATATTCAGGATCCAAATATTGGCATTCCCACAAATCCCAAATACTGCTTCAGATACCCAAATATACAAAAAGAGAGAGAGAGAGCTCTTTTGAGAACTGCTTTTGAGAGAACAGCTCTGACAGAACTATGGCTCGCCCAAGGTCATCCAGCAGCTGCAAGTGGAGGAGTGGGGAATCAAACCCGGTTCTCCCAGATTAGAGTCCACACTCCTAACCACTACACCAAAACAGCCCTGAGGTGGGAGTAAAAACAGGTTGGAGACCACATCACATGACTGGACCACAAACCAGTGAAACTTTGAGTCTCCCATAGAGCCAACTAAAATATTACAAAACAGTGTGCATTTTCACACCAGTGTGTAACACTGTGCAAGCTTTCAGGTTCCCTAAAATTCCTCCACTCCCTTTGTGTTCTTCCTTCCTTCCTTTTTCTTCCTGTATGGAACATTTAGCCAGATGAAGAGTGGTGAAGGCTTGCGTACTGTTTTGCGCCGGCCAGGAAGTTCCGAATAAGAAGATATTGTGCAACTTTGGTATCTTACATTCTTGTGTAACTACATTTGTTCCTGTTCTTCTCCTTCCCTCTCTGCTTCCTTCCTTTCCACTGGAGATTGTGTCTAAATTTAGCGTCTTAGCTTCTCTCACAGCGGGAATCTGTCTTCCTTGTGTGTTTTGCATCTCCGGGTACAAGAGCTGAGATAGACCCCTGGAGAGCTGCCGTGTAGGGGAGGGTTACTGGGGCTCAATGGTAGAGCAATAGCTTTGCCTGCGGAAGTCTCAGGTTCGGTCCCTGAAGCCTCCAAGTCTCTGGTAGGAGGCAATAAGAAACACCTTGACCCAAGATCCTGGAAAACCACTGCTGGTTTGAGTAGACGATACTGACCTTGATAGACCAAAGGCCCTGAGTGAGGATAAGGCAGCTTCATGTGATCTTGTTATGGGCAGGAGAGTAGTAGAGCACTAGCTATGTAGGCAGAAGGTCCCACTCCCAGGTTAGGCCCCAGCTGAAAGGATCAAGTAGGAGGTGATGTGAAAGAACCTCCATCTGAGACGCCTGAGAGCTACTGTCAGTCAAAGTGGACATCCCTGACCTGGATAGCCCAAGCTAGCCCAATCTCGTCGTATCTCGGAAGCTAAGCAGGGTCGGCCATGGCTAGGAACTGGAAGGGTGACCTCCAAGGAATACCAGGGCCGTGACACAGAGGCAGGCAACAGCAAACCACCTCTGAATCGTCTCTTGCCTAAGAAACAAGTCTAGCTCACCACCTAGTGGTGCGTAACGCCAAAAGAGCTGGAACATCCAGCTGCCAGACGATCTTAGGCAGGGGTCATTTCCTGCAGGAGCGCACAGGAGCGGAGCTCTGGCATTAAAGAGCCCAGGGGGCGGGCACATGCAAGAAGCCCCGCCCCCTACTCCCAGCAGCCCCAGGCCACAAGGAGCACGAGGATCTGTGCATCCCCCCCCCACATAGCTACCAATCCAAAACAGTCCAGTGGAGCCTGAGCGGTGGGTGTTGCCTTCTGACACACTTCCGGTGATGTCAGGGGGTGTGGCATATGCAACTAAGTTATGCTAATGAGTTATGCTAATGAGCTCCTGCACCTCTTTTTCTACAAAACGACCTCTGATCTTAGGATCTCCTGGCTATACTACACATACGATAATTATTATTATTTATTCAAAGTAGACAATAGTGACCTCAATAGACTAACAGTAAGACTCCGTATAAGGCAGCTTCATGTGGTCTTGTTAAAGGGAGGGGCCATGGCTCAGTGGAAGAACAACTATTTGGCATGCAGAAGGGCCCCGGTCCAATCCCTGGTATCTCCAGGGTTTGGTAGGAGATGGTAGACTGGTGCTTCATAAACCGTCCTTTTACCGTCCTGTTGTGATCTGGTGTGACTATCTTCTGGAACACAGAGGTTATCTTAAGAGCCCTGGTTCTTGGTAGCATAGGGGGAGGGCCATGGCTAAGCGGTAGAGCCTCTGCTTGGCACGCAGAAGGTCCTAGGTTCAATCCTCAGCATCTCTAGTAAAAACAATATGGCAGCTAGTAAGAGGTGATGTGGAAGACCTTTACCTCAGATCCTGAAGAGAGGCTTCCAGTCAGAGCAAACAATAATGACCATGCTAGTCTCAGGAAAAGGGAAGTTCATCTGTTCTTGTTAAGGGGAGGGGCCCTGGCTCAGCAGTAGAGCCTTTGCTTTGTCTGCAGAAGGTCCCAGATCCAATCCTCGATATCTCCAGGGTTTGGTAGGAGGCGATAAGGAAGGACTCTGCTTTGAAAATCTGGAGAGTTACTGATGGTCAGAGTAGGCAATGTAGAGCTTGATAGACCCATGGGATGACTAAGTAGAAGGCAACTGCCAGTGTTTGCTCAGAGCTGGGAACAGAGTATTTACTCGATAGTCAGCAGCTTTATATGAGCTTATAGGATGGCGCTATGTTGTTAATAATTGTTTATAATAATTGGTAATATCTGTAATAGCCATGCAGATGAAAAACTCTGCAAGGAGGGGCTGCCCAAGGTATGGGTTTCTGCAAACCTGTGGCCACCTCCAGGTTTGCAGGGGGAAGTAAACAAAATTGCAGGAGTTCGGCAGTGCTGAGATTGCACAAAGCAACATCACGAGATCTCGTCCCTGTGAATCATTTGCTGAATCTAGCCCAAGATACAGAACCAAGAAGTCCTCTATGCGAGGAAGGGGGAAGGGCTGGGAAGAGAAACGCTGAAAAGAAAGGGCAACCTCCGTCCCTTCCCCACTCTGTGGTTTTTCTCCACTGATCTAGATCCACGTCTTACTCTTCCTTTATTCCCAACAGACCACAAGAAGCCAGGCGCACCAGAGAACGAGTCCCCTTATCAGGTGAGTGTGACATGGTGTCCATGACCTTTAACCCTGGGGACTGCTGCATGGGTGTCAGATCAGTAAAGCCTTTGTTAAGGAGGAGGATTTCATTGGTATTACATGGGGGGAAGCCAAGACATTGACTTATTTCCCACAAGCACTGCTCACTCCTCCCTTTTGCCCTGATGGCACATGTCAATTTCACACAAGCTGCTGCGCAGCCGTATTTCGCCCCGCAGCTTCGTGCAATTTCCCCCACGTCTACTCAGTCCTGTTTTTTTTAGGATTGAGTAGATGCAGGGGAAATCGTGCGAAGCTCCTGGGCGAAATGCGGCCGCGCGGCAGCTTCTGTGAAATTGACACTTGCCATCGGGGCAAAAGGGAGGAGTGAGCGCGGAGCAGCGCTTGTGGGAAATCAGCCATTGTGTTGAATGGAGCAGAAAAATCTACAGGGCGTACCTATCTCACAAATGGCATGGATATATTTGTTCTCTGCACTCTTGGCCTAAACAGATGAGATGCTATTCAGGACTGGATCTTCTCTCTGCTTAGGGTCAGGGACATAGTGCAAGAGGAGAGGAGAGTTTCTCTTTTCCATCACTTGTATGGTTTAGCAAGTTGGGTTGCCACCAACTATGACAATTGGTCACCAAATAACCAGGATCACTTCCTCTGGAGAAAATGGCTGCTTTGGAGGGTAGACTCCCCTCCCCAAACCATGCCATCCCCAGGGTCCACCCAAAAAATCTCCAGATGTTTCCCAACCTGGAGCTGTCAACCCTATAAAAGTCTAGATCTTTCCCATGCCCAGCCAGTAGGCCTCTCATTATCCTGCCCAGCCCCAGTTTCCTGCCCTTGAGGAACTGCGAAGCAGGAGAAAAAATGGCCTCCACATAGTGATACTCCAGGAATTTCCCCAGTGTCTACGGTAAAGAACATAGGGACGGGGGAAGCAACATAAAGCATCACCAGGAAGTGACATCACATCCCCCCAAAACTTCACTTTCCCCAGACACTGCCTCCCAAATCTCCCAGCTTTTGCCAAGGCAGTGTTGGGAACCCTACCGGTCAGGAAAGAAGAAAGATTGGCACCTTTCGGGGAGGGGAGGTCAATTTTGAACCTGTTAGGAGATAGAAGACTCCTCCTGTCCTCCATGATCTTTCACTTTAAGTGACTCTTCTGACAGACCTATTCTAGTTAGGCTTGCAATATTCTTCTCTCCTTCCTCCATTTTATTCTCACAACAACCCTGTGAGGTAAGCGATAGAGTGACAGGCCCAAGGTCTCTCAGTGAGTTTCCATGGCAGAATGGGTGCTCGAATCTGGGTCTTTCTGGTCCTCACTGCCACCATAACCACTACTTCATGCTGGATCTCAGTTGCTATGGCTTAGCTAATGCAATTTGAGCGGCTACTCAGGTGGCCGAACAAAAGAAAATATCAACCAACCTGATCGGGATGAGTTTTCTTCCTCCTCCTCCAAGATCCACCTCCTCACACACCTGTACATGTTCCCATGTCTGCATTTCCGTGCATGCGTAAGAGGGACCCTCACTCCAATTTTACTTCTAGAGACCCTACAGAGGAAGCTGAACCCCGATGAGGGAGAAGATTAGGAACGCACACTAATGAGAATTGGACGCAACATTCCTCAAAGACAAAAATCAGGGTAGTGATTCCCCAAAGATCAGCAATTAAATACTGTCTCTGATAAACAGGGACGGCCAAAGGATATAGGTAATGATCACTACCTCAGTTGGCTTTAAAAAAAAATTAGACATAGGGTTGCCACTGCAGTCTCCAAGTGGCAGTTTGAGATCTCCCAGAATTACTACTAGGCTTCCCAAGTCCCTCCGGGGAGCAGGGAAACCCCCGCCCCAGAGGCCCATTCCTCGCCAGCGGCGGATCAGGCCCCTGGGGGAACTCCACCCCGACGTGCGCGTCACCCGGAAGTGACGCGCCCACGCCGAGCATGCTGGGGGCGGGAAAATGGCAATCTGAGGGAAAACTCTATGGTTTTACCTCGTATGGCCATGGCCTCGCCCCCAGCGTGCCTGCCGTCGTCACGTCACTTCTGAGTGATGTGCATGCGGCGCACTCGCACACCAGACGCCGGCCAGGAGCCCCCCGCTCTGGCAGAAGATCGACTTGGCAACCCTAATTACTACTGGTCCCCAGATTAAAGAGATCAGTTCCCCAGGAGAAAATGGCTGCTTTGGGAGGTGGATCCTATGGAATTATACCCCACTGAGGTCCCTCCCCTCACGAAACCCCGCCCTCCTCAGGCTCCACCCCCCAAAATCTCCAAGAAGCTCCCAACCCAGAGCTGGCAACCCTAATTTTAGACAAATTCATAAAAAGTGGGTCTGTAACAGCTGTTGACCATGATAGCTAGGGGCAGTATGCCTCTTAATACCAGAGGCTGGAGAAAAGAATAGAGGACCATTCTGAGCATCCTGAAGGCATCTCCCTCATGGCATCCGGGTTGGCATAGAAACTGGGATTCCCTCCCCAGTGAGATTTGTGTGTCCCCTTCCCTCTCTCGTTCTCTTCTGCCAGTGGGAGAAGTCTTTGTGAACGCTTGTGTGGTCTGTGTGTGTGTGTTGTGCCATCAAGTCGTTGCTGACTTATGGTGACCGTATGAATGAATGGCCTCCAAAACGTCCAGTCAATAACTGCCTCACTTGGGTCTTGCAAATGATGGCTTCCTTTAATGAATCTGTCCATCTCATGCTGGGTCTTCCTCCTTGCCTGCTGCCTTCAGCTTTTCCTAGTGAAAAGTATGCAGATGGAGAGTGATTTCAGCTAAGCATACTTTTATTAGTCAGGAACAAGACACCTTGGCTGGCTCGCAGGCCGGCTTATATTCCCTCAGAACCCACCACCATAACACTCACACACACACTTCCCGATAGGCTATTTACAGTAACCGAGAGGCCTATTGGCCTCACGGTCTGGGACCTAGCCCTCTGATTGGGCCTGGCTAGGATCCTTCTGGCCCATTGTCCTTAGGCGCGAAGCTTGAGGTTTTGCTCTCCGGACAAGTCCGGACATGCCCGGCCCTATTGGGCTGGATACACTACACCTAGCATGACTGTCTTCTCCAGTGTTGTTTTCTCACAATGTGACCGAAGTACAATAGCCTCAGTTTAGTCGTTTGCGCTTCCAGAGAGAGTTCAGGTTTGATTTGATCTGGAACCCACGCGTTTGTCTTTTTGACAGTCAATGTTGTCATTAAAACTCTTCTCCAACACCACATTTCTGATGAATCAACTGTCTTCCTGTCAGATTGCTTCACTGTCCAACTTTCACTCCCATACGTAGTCACAGGGAGTATTATGGCATGAATTATCTTGATTTTCATCACCACTGACACATCCTTACCCTCAAGGATCTTCTCCAGCTCCTTCATGGCCCCCCTTCCCAGTCTCAGCCTCCTTCTGATTTCTTAGTTGCCGTCTCCCTTTTAGTTGGCGATGAAGGCAAGGCACAGAAAGCCCTGAAGAATTTCAGCTCTCCCTTATTAAACTCGCCTTCTTGTCTGTAATTATTACATTTTTAATTTTGTTCTATGTATTTCCTTAAGTTTTACCATTTCTAGATCTTCACCACCAGATTGGTGTAGTGCTTAAGTCCGCGGACTCTAATCTGGGAGAACCGGGTTTGATTCCCCACGCCTCCACTTGCAGCTGCTGGATGACCTTGGGCAAGTCATAGTTCTGACATGAGCTGTCCTTGAAAGAGCAGTTCTCTCAGAGCTCTCTCAGCCCCACCTACCTCACAGGGTGTCTGTTGTGGGGAGGGGAAGGGAAAGGAGTTTGTATGCCACTCTGAGACTCCAAGTGAAGGACGGGGTATAAATCCAATCTCTTCTTCTCTTCTTCTTCTTCTTCTTCTTGAGGGCACTAGCTGGGTGGAAAGGCAGGGCAGAAATGCTTTACACAAATAAATAAAACAAATCTGGGTGGCCACTGTTGGCAACGGGAGGCGGAGCTTTGGCCTAGCCCAGCAGGGCTCTTCTCATATTCAAATGACTCCTTGGGGACAAGATGAACACTTTAAACAAGCCGTGTTCTTCTTGCAGTCCGGACCTTGGATGGTCCAGGCGGCTAGCCCAGTCTCATCAGCTCTCAGAAGCTAAGCAGGGTCAGTCCTGGTCAGTATTTGGATGGGAGACCACCTAGGAAATCCAGAGTCGCTATGCGGAGGCAGGCAATGCCAAGCCACCTCTGAACAACTCTTGCCTCGGAAACCTGCGACCCGATGGCACTTTCTGCCCACAGCATCCTTCCTACTTACATAAGTTCCCCCAAGTCGCAACCGACGGACAGCAACCCCAACAAGGGACATTCAAAACAAGTGAGAAGCAGAAGTGCTTGGCATTGCCTTCCTGGGTGGTGCCCTGTCCAAGATCTGACAAGCTACCGGCTGCCTTGCCTCCCACATCCTTCCTAACCCTGCGCTGATCTCTCGTTTCACAGGAACTCGATACACGAGGCCTGGAACTCTACTGCGACCTGAAGAATTCAAGAAGCAACATCAAATAAGTCTTCTGATTCCGGGGCTGGGCTTCTGAATGGGGGGAGGGGTTGCGCAAGGGGCTTCCAAATACCCGACGTCTGTGCCAGCTGCTTTCCAGAGACCGCGAATGTCTCCACGCAAACTCCTCTCTTCCGAAAAGACAAGCCCGCTCAGAAGCTATCCTTCAAGACAGGCTCCAACTGTGAACAGTCATTTAGTTCTTTTCATTGAGAAATTCTACCCTGAGAGCTTGCTGCGTTGGGTCTATTTGAGGACGTCTCTGCCCAGGTCCATTGCGCTATCATTGGCTGCCACACAATGGAGGGCTCTCTGGGGGTGGGGAAACGTGTAAGCTCTGAGTAAGCTCTTCTAGTAGAAATTCCCAGTTCTATTGTAGCGGCTACCATTGGTTGCCAGGTTGCATGTGTATGCTTTATGCTTTAAGTTATAACCCAGCTTGTGTTGTGTTGCACGTGCGCCAGAGAACGGTGTGCAACTCAAGTTTCTGATTTTTGCCAGAATCTTTTTTGGTGGTTCCCCCCCCCCCCCCAAAAAAAAATCTCCTTGAGCCACAGCTTCCGTCAAGCTCTCCTGGATAAGTCTGTTGAAGTGAAAGGGAAGCACAGACCGCGGTGGTAAAATGCGGCGATCTGGCAGGTCACCCGTTTGTATCTTACCACCATCACAAAGTCCCTCGGCAGCCGTGCTCTCTCAGTCCCCATTTGTAATATTGGAGTTGATGCCGGCCTACCTTCCAGGGCTGTTGTGAGGACCGCAACAACAAGAGAGAAATCAGTATACAGATCCCAAGTGATATTATTGCCGAGGGTGGGCTTTGCTCAGTTCTGGTTCTTATCAATCGATGCCGGGGATTGAACCTGAGACCATCTGCATACCAAGCAGATGCTCTACCACTGAGCCACAGCCCTTCCCTCAAAAAGTGTTAAATTCAAGCACAGACCCTGGGTCCATCAAGGTCAGTCTTGTCTACTCAGGCCGGCAGCAGCTCTCCAGGGTCTCAGGGAGAGGTCTTTCCCATCACCTGCTACTTGATCCTTTTAACTGGAGATGCCAGGGAATCGGGTATGCATGTCAGGAGAGCTTCCTACACTGCGGTACCCGTTAATGGAGAATGGGTGTTTGAGGGTTGGGGGTTAATGGTTTGTAATTTTTATTTTATTTTTTGCTTCACACTGATGACTGGTTTTGCACGTACGTTTGTATTTGCTTTGTTGTTTTCCATCAAGTATTTTGAACTGTACAAAGATGGCTCTGAGCGTTATTCGGTTTCCTTTTCTGCTTTGTTTCCTGGGAGTGGGAAGGAAGGAATTCTGGGCTTGCCTGACACCAAATCATTCCTCTGATCAAAGGTATGCTGTAAGAAAACGCTGCGTTATTGCCAATGGGAGGGTGCATGTATATAAATATATACATCCTGGTTTGTCAGGCAGGGCTGCAAACTGGAGAGGGAGGGATAGTTACAGAGGGCGAGATTTCATTCCCTCCAGTAACTGGCAGCCCCAGAGATTCATGGAGGATAACACCCAGCCAGTTCTGGATTGGGAAATATCTGGAGATTTGGGAGGGGTTGGGGGAGAGGAGTGACCAGAGTGGGGTATAAGGCCAAAGAATCCATCCTACAACGCAGCCATTTTCTGCAGGGGAACTGCCCTTGGTCGTCTGCCGATCACTTGTAATAATGAGAGACCTCCAGGTGCCACCTGGAGGTTGACGACCATAGTCCCAGCTCTGGCTTTAGTGGTAGGATCCCAGTTTCTGAACATATGCAGAGTGCACTCAGCTTTGGGTATGAGAGCCGGTTTGGTGTAGTGGTGAGGAGTGCGGACTCTGATCTGGGAGAACCGGGTTTGATTCCCCACTCCTCCACATGCAGCTGCTGGTGTGACCTTGGGTCAGTCACGAGTTCTCTAAAAGCTGTTCTCTCAAGGGCAGTTCTTTCAGAGCTCTCTCAGCCCCACCTACCTCACAGGGTGTCTGTTGTGGGGTGGGGCGGAGAAAGGTAAGGAGATTGTAAGCCGCTCTGAGACTCCTTCGGGTAGTGAAGGACAGAATATAAATCCAATCTCCTCTTCTTCTGAGCACTGACAAACAGATCCAAATGGTTGTCAGCAGTAGGTTTGGGGGGCACAACACTTTCAAAGAGTCCCTCTCCTTTCCCGCCATGGCCTTCTCATGCTCCCTCTCTCACATTGGATCACCCGGATCATCGTCCAGAGAAAAAGGGCCGACCAGTAAGCAGGGAGCAGTGGCTCCAGAGCCCCCCGGGGTCCTCCCCCTCTAGAGCCCCCAGGCCCACCGTTCTGCCTCCCTCCTTTCTGCAAGCTGCCGTTTCCCCCTTCCAAACACAACACTGCCGAAGCAAATAATGACTGGAGTGGACACAGCAGGGCCGGCATCAGCGGACCCTCATATGGGGCAGCTGCCATGGCCCCAGACTCCTGGTGGAGCCCATCGCTGTGGAAACACCCCACCACCACCCATGCGCCTCCCCTGTCCCCGGTCTGCATGCCCTTCCCCATCTGTTTGCTTGAAGGGCTCTGCCACCTGTCCTCCCCAGTGCCCAGTGCCACTGGGGAAAGGCATGAGGTCCACAACGGCAATGCGGCTGGTGGCCATGGCAGCAGCAGTCCTAGCTGCATGCGCCAGCCAGGGGTCATTTCCTGCAGGAGCGCACAGGAGCGGAGCTCTGGCAGTAAAGAGCCCAGGGGGGCGGGCACATGCAACAAGCCCCACCCCCTGCTCCCAGCAGCCCTCAGTCAGAACAAGAGGCAGCCAAATAAGTTGCAGAGCCCCCCCACCCCGGTCCAAAACAGTCCAGTGGCACCTTTAAGACCAAGTTTTATTCAGGGACAAGCTCTCCCTCCTCTGTGAGGGCAGATCTGCAAGTCCCCCCCCCCAATAGCTAGCAATCCAAAATAGTCCAGTGGAGCCTGAGCGGTGGGTGTTGCCTTCTGACACACTTCCGGTGATGTCAGGGGGTGTGGCATATGCAAATAAGTTATGCTAATGAGTTATGCTAATGAGCTCCTGCACCTCTTTTTCTACAAAATGACCCCTGTGCAGCGTTACACAGTGCTGTTGCAGAAAGGGGGGTGCAGGTGGGCCTCTGAGCACGGGCAGTGGGAGGGCTTGTGAGTGGCAGAAGGTGGGGGCACACAGGTGAGGGTGGAAGGGTGTCAGCAGGACCTGGTGGCAGGCAGGCAGAGGCCTCTGTGCATTGTGTGCCCAGGGTAGGGTCACCACATCCGGGTTGGGAAATACCAGGCTCTTTGGGGGTGGAGCCTGAGGAGGGCGGGGTTTGAGGAGGGGAGGGGCTTCCAGTGCCATGGAATCCACCTTCCAAGGTGGCTGTTTTCTCCAGAAGAGGAGATCTCCAGGTGCTACCTGGAGGTTGGCAACCCTACTCCCTTGCCACTCAGTCAATGCACAGGGGCGTTGTCATGTGTGCAGGGCTAGAGGTGACAGAGGAAAGACCAAAAAAATGGCAGCTGAGGAGGTGTCTGGTGCAGCAAGCTCTGGGTGCGGTTCTTCTCTTGGGTCTGGCTGGCAGAAGGGTTGGGCAATCGCTCGGAGTGTTGTTTTTTTAATCCGATATCTCAACAGCAATGCTCGACCACAAGTAGCTCCCTGTCGGCTCACCGCTGCGGAGCAAGACTGTGGGAAGAGGGGACCTCGGCTTAATTTTCAGTGAGAGAATCAGGCCCAGCCTTTTCCTTGACTAAAGTGGAGCTTCTCCCTCCTTGTCGGGTGGGAGGGGCTGCAGATGGTTAAGCTCCTCCCACTTAGTCCTGACTGACAGTTATTGGAAAGGGCTGCTATAACTCGTTCCCCAGCCCACAAGCTCCCTTCCCCTGCAGCTCAAAATTCCCCAAAAAAAATATTTCTGGAGGAAAGGGGACTCGCAGGAACAGCTGAGATGGGGTTTCCAGTGATCTGCAGCACAAAACCCGCCGCCTCCCTTCCATCCACGGAAATCATCCATAGAATCCGCTGTGGGCAGGTCTTATATTTCTGCACTTTCATCTATGCCATCACTGTTCCCGGATACTTATTCAGGGAAGCAATGGCCTCACCCAGAGCTGACGAAAAGGAGAAACAGAAGTGTCATCAACAAATGGATGGATCTGTAAGCTCTCTTGCAGTTTCACACAGATGTTCCAAGGCCCCCGTGAAAGGCTGGATCCCAGCTGTGTGGTGTGCCGTCATTGTGCTATTACCCCATTTCCTGTGTGTTCTTAGAACATGGCGCAACCTGCGGTACACAGTTCCGGCTCTCTGCTTTTAGCCTCAGCCCAGCTACGAGCACATGAAGTGACTCACGCAAACCGTCTGATCAGCCTTCTTTTTAAAAATTTCCGTTCTTTCTCTCAGCAGCCATCGACACTCATCCTGCTCAAGTAGCAGTGCCTGGTCTTGGGACCTTGGCATAGATTGGGCTTGCTGGTTAGAACTGGTGCTTCTTAAATGTCTCATAGCTGAATCACAATCCCCCCCCCCCGAATTTACATTGGAGGCACACTTCAGTTTGTGCCCTTTTAAAGAAGGTTACTTGTTGAAGGTGTAAAATTTGCCCAACCGCAGAGGAAACCCTTTCTAATATTTCTACATGTCACTGATCTGACTGATTGGCAGGAAGCAAGCTCAAGGCAGTGACGCGGCGGGCAGCCTCTTCCAAACCCAGGCAAATTTGCTGCTTCTCCTTGGTGAGGGTCGTTGAAAGATCCAGTCACACCCGACGTAGAGATGCAACAGAATGACCTGCCAGCAGAAGACACTGTTTGGCAGGAAACCAGGCCAGAGCAGTTAATCATTCAGAGATGCAACAGGCAGCCTCATCCTCTTTGGCCAGGTAGCTTCCAGCCTTTAGTTGATTCAAGTATTTATTTATGGCAGCACTGTAGCAGTCGCCTTGCAGCAGACTCGCATACAATTAGGAGGAAACTGCTGTTCTAAAATAATAATAATAATCAGGGCTCTAGTCGGGGGGGAGCTCTCAGGTACGGAGCTCCGGAAGAGAACCTCTAGGGGGCGGGGCGGTCACGTGGTGAAGCCCCGCCCCCTTCTTTACCCCGCCCTCTGCTTCGATCCTCATTCCGTTTGGGAATGAGGATGAAGCAGGAGGGTAAGTAGCCGGGCCTTCTGACACACTTCCGGTGATGTCAGGGGGTGTGGCCTTCTGTCACTTCCGGTGATGTCAGGGGGCGTGGCATATGCAAATAAGTTATGCTAATGAGTTATGCTAATGAGCTCCGGCAGCTCTTTTTCTACAACAAGACCCCTGATAATAATAATCCATTGTTCACAGCAGTAATCCCCAGTGTGTCACTCATGGGCCCCATGCTGTTCACTTGCATCCAAATTATCTCCCCCCCAAAGTAAAGAGCCAGTGCTGGCTTTCCTCCACTTCTTCGTTTATGTATTTACTTCATTTGTACCCTACCTTTCTCCCCAATGGGGACCCAAAGCGACTTGCACCATTCTCCTTTTCTCCATTTTATCCTCACAACAACCCTGTGAGGTAGGC